CGATGATGTCATGCTCCAGCAACCCCCACTCCTGCTTGTTTTCTTTTTTTATCCCCATCCTCTCCTCTCCCCTCCCCTCCCCGTTCCAATCCGCCGTCCTGGATGCACGTGTGAGACGCTGTGCCAGCCAGTTCGGCAACAGCCGCCGCCGCCTCCATCCTCCTGCCTGCGGGGCTTCTTGGCCGAGAGCGTCGGACCCGTTCTGCCAAAAGGTAATCGTCGAAGAAAAGACTCTTTGCGTGCGACGAGCGCGAGGAGAGGCGATCGAAGCCGCCGGCCGGCTTTGGCTGAGCGCGCGCTTTGCCGCTCGCGGAGGCGTTTGTCGTCGGCTGCCGTGGCCATCGCTTCGCCGGCGTGCAGTGGGGAAAAACTGCCGCGTTGGATTGACTCCGTTGGATTTGGTGCAGCGAATCAAAGCGTCCGTGCCCAGATCGATTTTTCAAGCCGACTTGAAAACGCGCACGGAAGCCCGGACGCTCCCACCGGACAAAATGAGGCGAGCCGTCATTTCTTTGCGCGTGTGCGCTTTGTGGTTTGCGGGCTCGAGAGCCGCTCGCTCGCTCGCGCTGCTGCGACTCTGCTGTGGAGTCTCGTCCGCGTCATTCCAGAGCGCGCGTCGACCCAGGTGACGTCATCCTTCAACGATTTTTTTGACAAGTCAATTCTCGGCCGTTTGAAAACCGGGCGTGCGCAATGACGAGACCGGCAGCTCGCGCGTCATTGTCCGCGTGCAGATTTCTGGGGGGGGCACTTTGATGCATGGCGTCAACTCTCGCTATGACTTTTTGCTCCCCCGACCGCCAGCCCCAGATGGGGCAAGGAGTTGCTTTTGCCTTCGAGTGGGATGCCAAGTTAATATTTCATGTGGAGTCCGCCCCGCATGTAGATGGCGCTCATAACTAATTCATTTTTCCATCTACCCCCACCTCCTTTTGTTGGAAACCATCCGGGGGGCGCTGGACCAGGAATGTCAGCGCGGCAATTTTGGCGCACGTTTTTGACCCAAATGAAAAGAACACATCTCTGTCGACGCCGCTTTCGCTTCCGCGGGCCGCAAAACATGTCGTGGCAGACGTGGAGTTTGACACCGAGAGTTGATTGTTGACGAGTACGACTGATATTCAAGCACTCGGCTTCTCCAATCGGGGTCCCCGAGACGGAGCTCGGGCGAGAGGAACGCGGGCGGCGGCGGCCGCCTGACGTATCGTGCGCGGTCCTTGAGACGCCCCGCCCGCAAGAGGGCTCGCCGACCTTTTGGGAAAGCGCCAGGCAGTGACTCCTTTTTTATTTGTATTGTTTTTAAAGAGGAGGTCCTCGGGGGGGCCCCCCGGTGCCTTGGTGATCCCGACGGCCGCTATCTTGTCTGCTCGTAGCTCCCGATAGTTTTGTCGAAAATAAGGAAACCGATCCAAGTGACTTGGAGTCGACGCGTGGACGCATCCACCTGGAGTAAATCGCTTAGCCAAGATACAGTTCTTTTTTTGAGGGGGGGGGGGGTGATGACAATCTCTCAGTCCCCTTGTCGCCATCAAATGTTCACAGTGTCAAACCATTTCATGGAGCCCCATGAGAGAGAGAGAGAAACATCGAGATCTCTCGATATAAATGCACATGACAGCAATGTAGCGTATGAATGTGCTGGTGGGGGACAATCTGGCTTTCATTTTTCAAAAGCGCCACGAAGTGCTCACTCATGCAGGAGATAAGAGACGACTTCCCAAAGCAAGTTTTGGAGGCGGTGACCGCGGCATCCCAAGATAAGATCCAAGATCAAGCGAGGCGGGTGACAACAGGTGCGCGACGTGCACCTGCTGTCACCCGAGCACGCGTGTCACGTTGCCTTCCCAAAATGTGCGCCGCGAGCTCTCCGTGGGGCTTTTGCCACCCGAAATAGACGCGCGCCGCCTCCGCCGTGGAGGAGCAGAGGGAGAAAAAGTGGCGTTGCGCAGACGTCAACGTTCAACACCATTTGGACGATTGAATCGTTGCGATGGCGAGGCCAAACCGAGCGGATGTGAAGCGCTTCTCCCAAAGAGTGCAGATGCGCCTCCGCGTTGGTCGAGCGAGTCGCTGGAAGGCGAAACGCCAAACGCGCCTCGGGAAATAGCCGCAACATTTTGCATTGGTGCTTTGACTTGCAAACAATGTGAAATGTTCCCACTGCGCTGAGCAAGCTTTCAAGCCTTCCAGTTTGCATTGATTGATTGATTTGAAAGACGCGGCGCTTCGGTGGGATACGTAACAACGTGGAAGCGCTCGACTTGGCCGCGTGCCGTTGAGGGGTGTGCGGAGAAATTGGCAAGCCGGGCCCTTTTATCGGGCCCCCGCGGCGATGGGCGCGCGCAGCCCGCTGGCCCGGAGCCCCGGAGCCCCGCGCAGCCGCCGTCTGAGCCTCGAAGCCGCTGGAATGCGCGCCCGCCTCAAGGGGAGAGCGGCCGCGCCGCTTTCGTCGGCAGCCCTTCGCTCACTCCGCACGACCGCGTTTGCTTGCTGCGAGCACCCGGTCCCATCAAGGTCGGCGAAGTCCCGCGCTGAGCCGGCGAGGCCGCTTTGGGGGCTCCGGGGCGGGACCGAAGACGGGCGAGGGCCACCTGCAGCCGCGCGCGCCGTCGGGCCTCCGCGGAGAGTGAAAGGGAGGATTCAGTGGACGCGCGAGGCGGCCGAGTGCGGGCTTGCATCTCGATCGTGAGGCCGTCAGAGGGAGCCTTGTTCGCGGGCCCGGGCTCACGCCGGCTCTCCTCCGCCTCGCGCGTGGGCGTCACAAGTCTCGCTCTTCTTCGGACCGATGCGCTTGGCCAAAAGTCGGCAGTCTTGCGCGCTCCATCAAGAAATACGCGCTCGTCGTCCTCGGGCCGGCGTTTGCCGTCGCGAGATTTGAGAGCGAAACATCGGCGCCTCGGTGCCGTCGATCGCCACGTGTGGCCGAAGACGACGTCCCGCGGGTCGCCTTTGAATGAGGCGGGGCCGTCGCAACGGAGGCGCCGCGCTCGCGAGCGGGATGATTGAATTTCCTTCCACACGTGAGCGGTTGAACCTCGACTCAAGCGTTTGATGGGACCGTGCCGCTTACTCGTATCTGCGACCAGATTCGCCGGGCCTCTTATTTCCAACGTTTGGTCACATGGCAGCCACGGGCAAAACCATGCGCGTCTCCGCAAACCTGAAATGGGATGCTTGCGGACATCCGGTTTCCGCTCGACGCCGGTGCGGCGTTTGTTGTTTTTGGCAGAAGCCCCCTCTCCGGTGAGGATCGGGCTGGATGAAAACAAACGCTACCGGTGTCGCGAAGTGGAGCGTTTGGAAACAAACAGTTGGCGCACGACGATAACTTGAATGCAACGGCCGTGTTGCGCTCCTTTTGTTGCGCGCACCTTGGCCACTGGGGGGGCACGTCGGCCCGGTTTTGACGCAAACGCGAGTCAAGCGGGCCGACGTACGACGCTTCGTCGGCGCGAGTTTTGCCGGGCCATCCGCGGCCGTCGGCGTGGCACGGAGCCGTCAGTGAGGCGGACTTTTTCTTTCGCGCTTCGTGAAGCTTTGCCGTAGAACACGACCCGACGTGGCAACCCGGCGCTTACGATGACCCCTCCCTCCAAAGGCCTAAAACGCACCCGACGGCAGCCGCTCTGTCCTCCAACTCCCGAGTCGGGTGTGGCTTGACCTTGACCTGAAGCCAACGTCCAGGCCGGATGAACGTCGGCGGATTGAGAACGGCCCCGATGGATCTCTCGTCGCTCGCCCGCCGCTTTTTAATCTTGCCGTTTCCTCCTGGGCAGATCTCCAAGGGAGCCTTCGCCGCCGGGCCGATGAGGCGCGGGCCGTCCCTCCAGAGCGGCGAGGCGCGCTTCGGCGAGAGCGGAGACTTTGGATGCCAGACGCCGGCGGCCAAGGCAAGGTGACGCGCGGACGCTGACGATGGGCCGCCTCGCTCCGCCGGTGTGCGCGCTTCTGCTGGTCGTTACTCTGCGCCGGGTTGCTGGCCAGCGTGACGTCACCCCTCGCCTCACCTTCTCCTACGGTGAGTTCAGCCCGCTGCGGCGCCTTGTCGCACGCGCACGCTCTTGTTGTTGCCGTGGCTTGGCGTACTGTCGCGTTTTACAAAAAAAAAAAAAAAAGTTTCTGCTCGCACGAGAGAGAGTGGACTCTTCCTTTCGTTCGTCTCAGCGCCTACGTCGTCACCAAACATGATCTTCGGTGCGTCTTCAAAGAGCGGGTTGCGGTTAGGGTGCTCCCCCCTCCAAAGAAAAAAAAAAAGAAGCTGAACAGAAAGTGAGCTGCCGGAGGGAGTCCTTCATCCCGAAAAGGGCCAGCTGCCAAAAAGCCCCCACCCCGAGACAATTTGAAAGCACACGCGGTCGTTTTCCCTCCGGACGGCGTCCCGCGAGCTTGGAATAAACGGCAGCCGGACGTTTGGTACGCCTCCGTCGTCAGGCGGGTCGCAGCGGGCCCCAAACGAGCTCAAGGCGAGCCGCGAACGTCTCGAGGCTTTTTGGAAGCGGCGCTTTGGGGAACGGCGCTTCGAGCCCCCGGCCGCGCGTCGGCGCCCCGGACCGCGCGAATCTGGCCGGCCCGCTCGCGGGCGTCCGAAGCTCAGGTCGTCGTCTCCGATGGACTTTGCGCGCGCGGCGGTGGGCAAAATTGCCATCCGTTCACCAAGCGTTGGCGCTTCGCAGATGCAGAGGAGAGGAGGTGCCCGACTTTCTCGGCGGACGGGCTCTTCAACTTCACGTCGCTGCTGCTCAGCAAAGAGGACGGCGCGCTGTACGTGGGCGCCCGCGAGGCGATCTTTGCCCTCGACCCCGCGGACATCGGCGCACGGGAGCGCCAACGAAACGTAAGGGCCTCGAAGAAGCCGCGCGGTGGCGGCTGCCAAAAAAAAAACACACCGGGGACGACGACGGCGTCTTTGGCAAGTTGCCACTCGAACGTCGTCTTCTTTTCGGAATCGTGTCGCCGGGCCTCTTTTTTGAGGTCCGATTGGTGAAGCTTGGCGGAGCTATGCGATTCTCGGCTCATCTTGTCGAGTCACGGCCGCCGCGTGTGTTGTGTGTGCGCTGTGTTTCCAGCTCACGTGGAAAACGCCGGACAAGAAGCGAAGCGAGTGCAGTTTCAAAGGAAAAGACCTCCAAGTGAGTCGCCGAATTCAAACGCTCGCTCGAGACGGGAATGTTTCCGAGGCGACGGCGGCCGTCCGGGAGGACTTGGCCAACGGGGCAAAGCCTCGGAAATATCCCGACAAGACGCGAGCGACGCTCCTCTCGGCCGCGGTCGATTCCCGCGCCCCCTGCGCTCCGTGCTCGGTGGACGCGCCGGCCTTGTCACGCCGGTTGTCACCGCCAGAGGGCGCCGCCAGGGTTCCTCGACCGTCACGACAGGCGCGAGCGACGCCGTAACAGGCCAAAGCGTCGGCCTCGGCGGTCAGCCAAAAACGAAAGCCGTTGTCCGGCTTTGCGTCAAGTCCCCTCACGTGTCCGCGTCCCGACGCGGGTCCTCCGCCCCCACCCAAGCTGACGCCAAATCGTGCGAGAACGCAAAATAACGTCAATCGGTGCCGTGACCTTCGCGTGTTGGCCGACTTTGCGCTCCTCCTTGCGCACTTGGGGAGCGCGTAAAAGTCAGCGAAAAAGCCAACCAAAATCGGCCTTGTGAATTTGAGCGATGGAAAATCGATGGCCACTCGTAAGAAAGTAGCAGCTTTGAAAATCAAGCCCGTCCGTCTCTCCTCTCCGACAAGCTGCGGGCGCGTCCGCCGAATGCGCCGCTCGCCTCGTAGCCCGGACGCCCCTTTGCCGCTCGTCTTCCTCGCGCGCCGACCGTCTTGCTGTCATTGTCGCCGCGCCCCTGCCGTTCGGCCTTTCTCCGCGTGACCTTGGCACCCTCGCGGCTGACAACGAGGCGCTCTGAAGCAAGGCGGAAGGAACGGAGCTTTGCGCTCGGCGTCCGCGGGCTCCTCGCCGCGCCTTTTTGACCTCGTCCGACGGCCGTTCACGCTCGAGTCATTTGTGGCCACGCTCAACTGTTTCGGAAACGCGAGGCCGCCGGCCGACCCGACGCTTCGGAAGAGCCGTGCCGCGCGCGGGCAGACGCTCGCGGAATGACTGGCGCGCGATGGCGCCCTTCCTCTTTTGTGTGCCTTCCATCCAGACGGATTGCTTCAACTACATCAAGATCTTGCTGCGAGTCAACAGCACTCGGCTGTACGTGTGCGGGACGTACGCCTTCAGCCCCGTCTGCGCCTACGTCGTAAGTGCGCCTGCGCCCTCGCGCCGCGACTCCAATACCGAGAGATTGCGGGTCGTTGCGGACACGCGCCCTCTCGGGGTCGCTCCAAATATGAGGAGGAGGGGACAAAGCGAGGCCTCGATCTGTTTGTGTCCTCCAACACGAACAGATCGGGCCCGCCGCCTCGTCGGGCGTGGCTCGCGTGCACGCGCAAAACTCGCCTTCGTGTCTTGCTCAGACAGCAGCTTTGCAAATTCTCTTCACTTTGAATAGCTTCCATCGAGTTGAAGTTTGGCTCTTTTTTTTCGACAATCTCCATTTTTAATAAATGGAGTAAAAGTTGAACAACTATATGAAATATATTTTTTTTTCCTGTCTTCTGATTGCGGAACCAGTTATCGGCAGTTATTCGTTCCAGCGTGTGGTCATGGGAGGCCGTCATCCATTTCCTTGCGTCGTAACGGAAGTGGACTTTGCCGATGAATTTGTCCGGCGGGACCTCGGGACCAAAGAGGAGCGGTCGAGTAACGCGTTGCCGTGTGCGTTTGCTAGGACACGGCCGACTTCACCCTCGTCGCGAGCGGCTCGGGCGAGGTCGTCACGGAGGACGGGCGCGGCCGCTGTCCGTTCGACCCCGGGTTCAGGTCCGCAGCCGTCATGGCCGGTAAGGCCGGCCTCCTCCGCCTCCGCGCCAAACGCGAGCAGCCGCACAGACGCGCGTGCTCGGCTTGCGCCGCAGACGGAGAGCTGTACGCCGCCACCGTCGGCAACTTCCAGGGGAACGAGCCCACCATTTCCAAGAGTCTGGGCCGAGGAGCCGCCCTCAAAACGGAAAACTCCCTCAACTGGCTTCAAGTGCTTGTAGATGTGCTAGTGGGCTCTCTGCTAGGCCCGGCCTTCGTGGGCTCCGCCTACATCCGGGAGAGCCTGCCCCGGGGCGACCCGGCGGGCGACGACGATAAGATTTACTTCTTCTTCAGCGAGGCGGGAAAGGAGTTTGACTTCTTTGACAACACGGTGGTGTCGCGCATCGCTCGCGTGTGCAGGGTGAGTCCCGCCCGAAGGCAAGCGCTCCAAAGAACAGACTTTTGGTTTTTCCTCCCGGGTGGGTCTCCTCCTCCGTGCGACGTGCGTTGCGGATAATAACGGGTGCTCCCACTTGACATCGGGCGGCGCGGGAACAAGATTTGCTGCGGAAATCTCACCGTGTGCAGGATCCGAGCGGATGGAAGCGCTTGACGGCCGTCCTCGCGTGCTCCGCTCTGGTTTTTCTTTGCTTTTCAGCTTCGCTTTCGCCAACCTCTCGCGAGCCGATCCCGAACCTTATCCGGCACGTGCCGGCGACCCGCCGCCGGGGCGCACTTTGATCGGTCATCCTGTGGACGTGGCCGTCTCGCGTTTTCCAAATAGCGGCGCTTCCGAACGGTCTGCGCGTACCGCGCTTGCGGGTCATCTCAAAACCCGACTGAAACGTGGCTGCAACGAGCGCACGGCTGAGGGAGGCGCGCCATTGGGGTGAAGTCGAGGTTCTTGAATGGACTCAAAAGCGGACTTTGAATCCAAACCAAGTTGGGAGGGGGCCTTTGGTTTCGATGACCTCCCAGATTTCTCCCGCGGGCATGACTTTGCTGTTGAGAGTTGTTTTTTTTTTTCTTTCTTTTGCGGGGGGTCCCACTTGTCAATTCAAAGCGTTTCCGCGGGGCCTTTTCTCAGTCCTGCGTCCTTCTCATGGCGAGCTCGTGGCGCGTGCTTGCAGGGAGACGCGGGAGGGGAGCGGGTCCTGCAGAACAAGTGGACCACCTTCCTCAAGGCGCAACTGTCGTGCTCGCTGCCCGACGACGGCTTCCCCTTCAACATCATCCAGGACATGTTCGTGCTGACGCCCGGCCCGCACGCCTGGAAGGAGACCGTCTTCTACGGGGTCTTCACCTCTCAGTGGTGAGCGCGCGGATCCCGCCGACCGAGTCCCTCTCCGAAGTCATGGCGACGCAGGGAACGCCTCCCTCCGTGTGTCGCGAGAACGACCGCGTCGCCCCCCCCCCGAACGATGTGCGCGATGAAGACGGCTCGCTCGGTCAACCGAGGGGCGAGTGGCCCCCGGTGGCGAAAGCGGGCACACGCACCCGCCGGAAGGCGCGGCGGCGGTTCAGCGCCAAGCACGATGAAAAACGCCGCACTACTGGCTTTCGGTGTCGCCGCTGTATGTTTTGATCAAGCACGAGATCACAGAGTGCTCCCGTTCTCCTCGAAAAGCGTCCACTTGGTTTGCCCTCGTGTTTTGAGGCGAGTCATATTTCAAGGCGCCGGCGGGTTGCGGAAAGGCGGAAGAGCAAAAATGGCAGGGGCAGCAAAAGCACGGCAACCAGCTTGACTTGAACGACATCGGCGATGCGTCGGCCACCCGATGCACTCTTTGCACGAGATCGGGGAAGGGACGAAGAAATGAAACGGGTGCGCCATTTTGGATGTGGACCGGGGACGCTTTGCTTTGCTTTGCTTTCACAGCAAACGTGCGCTTTTTGCTGTGGAAGGCTTCTCGGCTCGATCGCGAGCTGCTCAAGTGTCATTTTAGACGGCACGAGAAAGCAACCGTTTCGTGAAAGCCGCGTCGCAGGAGCAACTGGAGCCTTGGTTCCAAAGTAGAATAAGTGGAAAAAGGCCCCGCTCCCAAACGGAGTGGCAAAACAAGGACGGCGCGCCGGGAAAAGCTCCGCGTTGACGAGGACAAAAGCGCTGATTCGGGCCTCGCGCGGTGACGGAGAGACGCAACAAATGGGGCAAGCCCTCCGCCCGAGCGTCCGCCGAGTTGTTCTGTGCTTGTGGCCGCCGTTCGACAGGTCCAACGGCGCCGCGGGAACTTCGGCCGTGTGCTCCTTCACCATGGAGCAGGTGCGCAAAGCCTTCGGCGGCCCGTACCGCGAGGTCAACCGAGAAACGCGGCAGTGGTCCACTTTCAACCGACCCGTCCCGGAGCCCCGGCCGGGAGCGGTGAGTCCCTCTGCCGGACGACGCGGGAACTGCGCTTCCGCCTTTGGAGCTGAGCCTTCGGGTCCGCTAGCTTGACGACAGGCTAACGAGCGTCTTTGTCGCGGTGCCGCGAGCCGGCAATAGAACTGTACTCGGTCGCATACGAAGCATCCTCTGCAAAGAATCGCTCGTGTCGGTGCAGCACAGAGAAGCTGAGACGTCTCAAATCAAGAGTTTGTCCGTCCGTCCAACCGACCGACGTCACTGCACTTTATTGACGAGAAATCTTGAACCTTTTTTTTTTGTTTGTTTTTCTTTCTCGTGCTTATTTGTTGCCCCGCCTCCTCTCGCAGTGCATCACGAACGCGGCCCGGAAACAAGGCGTCCTGTCGTCGCTGCACATGCCGGACAAGGCGCTGAATTTCGTCAAGGACCACTTCCTCATGGACGAGGTGCTGCGCGGCCAGCCGCTGCTGCTCAACCGCCGGGCGCGCTACACGCGCATCGCAGTCCATCAAGTGGCGGCGGCGGCGGCGCGCCGGGCCTACCGCGTGCTCTTCGTCGGCACAGGTCAGAAAGGTCGTCGCTTTGCGTTGGCGTCGGCGAGTGCCCCGGCGGCCGACGATTGCGGAGAAGCTCTCTTCCCGAGCGACCGCGGACGCGAAACAAGCGCGCCGGCCCTCGATTTGAAGACGACGCGCGTCTCGTTTGCAGATGACGGGCGACTCCACAAAGCCGTGAGCGTGAAGAAGAAGATGCACGTGATCGAGGAGCTGCTGCTCTTCCGTCACTCGCGGCCCGTGCGGCACCTGCAGCTGGACTCGGAAAAGGTAAAACGGAAAACGGCACGCCCGCCCCCACGGTACGAGCGTGCCGTTTTCCTCGGCCATCATCCTGCGACCGGACGGATGTTTTTGTTCCCCCCTTTCCTCGGCAGGGTCTTCTGTATGTCTCCGCTTTCTCCGAACTGGTCTCGGTCCCGCTGGCCAACTGCACCAATTACGGCAGCTGCGGGGAGTGCATCCTCTCCAGGGACCCGTACTGCGCCTGGAATGGCAGGCGGTGTGTCGATGTCACGCGGGCGCAGCCAAACGAGTACGCGGCATTCCGTTTTTTTTTTTTTTTTTGAATGTGTCTTTCTTCGGCTCCCGCCCTTAAGGCAAACATTTCAGGAAGAAGAGGAACAGGAAAGTTGTGTTTTTCAGTCCCTGTTTGTTTTTGCAGCTTTCTGCAGCAGGATGTGGACAATGCCGACGCTCGGGCCATTTGCGACGAGACGGCACGTGCACGTGAGTGAGGCGCCGATCTTTTCTCGCGGGATAAACCGCGGCCCGCACCGAAACCGAGTAGAATTGTCCAAACGGCCAACTATTTGCAGGAAAAAGTTTGGGCGGCTCCGCCGTTTGGAATAACGCGGGTCTCTCGGCAGGGGCGCGGCCTTGCCGGGCGATCGTCATCCCCGCCGACACCTTCCACGTGCTGCCTTGCGAGCTGCGCTCCAAGCTGGCGCGGAGGGTGTGGCGCTCCAGCGAGACGTCGGGCCGCTCGCATTACCCCGGCTCGGAGGGGGGCCTGGCGGTGGTGGCGAGGGCGGGCGGCCAAGAGACCTACGAGTGCTGGTCGCTGGAGGAGGGCTTCCGGCAGCTGCTGGCCAACTACTGCGTGCGCGGCCGGGCCGCCGCCGCCTCGCAGGAGCGCGAGCTTCGCTCCCCGCGGCTCGCCGCCAAGTCCTACTGGAACGAGCTCGTCGTGGCGTGCGCCCTGCTGGCCTGCTCCCTGCTGGTCTTCTCGCTCTTCGTCCTCTACAGACACCGCCGACACGCCAAGGAGAGCGAGCGCCCCGGCGCGCCGCAGAACAGGCCCCGATCGGCGGCCGAG